TATTATTATTATTATTATTATTATTATTATTAACATTTACACACTCACCTCCCTCTCTTCTCTACAGAGACATAAAACAATGTTAATGAAACACAAAACAGTTTTTTAAAAAACAAAAACAAAATGAAAGAGAAAAAATAAAAACAGAAAACAAAACAAGAACCAAAAAAACCCACACAAACAAGGACTTCCCTTTCTTCAACCTTTGGGTATCAAATCTGTATTATCAAATATGTCCTTTTATCAGGATTTACTAAATCTTCTTTTGGTCATCCTACCTTTCCAAGACAGAATTTATCAGCCATTTTGCATTTCCCCCCCAAGTAATGTTTTTGTTTTTAATGCTGGCAGAAAATGGACTCATTGAAATCAACACGATATTCTTTTGTGACTTCCCAGGAATGGCTCTTTTCCCCACATATTCTGACAAAATCTTGTTTATTGTATTTCAATCAGAGTACAAGCCAACAAGCCAAAGGCAAAAGCGGCTGCTTGGGAACTTGGCTGCAAACAAAGACTCTACAGAAAATCAGTTAAGCAACCTCTCCTTTCCCCCCCCCCCCCAAAAAACCCAGGGATATAAAGTATTTAGTACAGAGATTCCCAAAGTGGGTGGTATGCTCCCCAGGGGTCAGTGGAAAGGTCCAGGGTGCCATGAGGGGGAAAAGGGCTGGTGGTGGGCTTCAGTTAAAGTATTGGCGTAGAGAAAGACAAGGGGAACCAATAGCCTTTAGGGCTATGGTGGGGATGAAGATTGCATGAAACTTCTTTTCAGTGTCCCTTAAAACCACCATGAAGCTTCACTTCCTATGGGGATGTTTCCTGCTCTTCACCTGTCCACACAGGCTCACTCTCTTAGGAGCTTATTGCTCACCAAATTAAGCCAGCTTACCTTTTCCGGCTTCAATCCTGGATCCAGGATACCCTCCAGATGTTATCAGACATACATTGCTGCCGATTTAGCCGTAATGCCGCTGGCCGAATCCATTCCAGGTCAAAGCCTCACTTAGCCAGCACTTTTTCAAAGTCGGGGAGCTTCCAACTTCAAAAATTGGCCGGCTCAGTGAGGTGACATCGCGGCTAAATCGGCAGCAATTTATGTCTGATAACATCCGGGGGTATCCCAGATCCAAGACTGAAGCCGGAAGAGGTAAACCGGCTTAATTTGGTAAGTGATAAGCTCCTCTGCCACTTTGTTCACTAATAGTGGTGGGAAACTCTTGCAAGGCTTGGGCACAGGGCATGATTTCTGTGTCTTGGAACAGCACCATTTTGGGACAGACTGACTGAATGAAGCAAGGAGTTAGAGCATGTGGTGATGGAAAGAAGCAGCATCAAAAAGGAGCTTTAAAGTTTGAGTCCCTGCTTAAGCTTTGAGCACTCCCACTTGCTCCTGCTTTCTTTCATTGGACAGGCTGAGAGAAGAGTTAGCAAAAGAAGCAATGTTTGTGTGTGGGAAAGGAGCACTTGAAGCTGTGTGGGGAAGATATGTCTTTGGGGAAGGAGGGAGAGGACTATCTGGGGTCAATTCTTGGAAAGAGTCCTTTACCATGGAGCAACTGCTGTAGTTCAAATATCTCCCTTTCCCTGTCCATGCCAGTCTCCAGTCCACATCATGTGGCCTCTGTAAACACATTATACACACACCATCTGTGCTCCGTCTCCACCCGAACAAAGAAAGATTGAGAGTCGTTCCTTGCTGGGAAGAAGCATCTCCCTTTGCACTTGGTCACCTTGGGAGCAGCAACCGAGCAGCTGACTGAGCACTGACCAGGAAGCCTCTTGCCTACACTGGCCTTTGGTACAAGCTAGAATGGGCAAGAGGTTTCTTGGTCAGTGCTCAGTCAGGGGCTCAGCTGTTGCTCTGAGGGAGCAACAAAGGGAGAAGTGGCCTAGCAGCCAGTCGAGCAGCAACTGAGAAGCCTGTCATCTGCACAAACCTTTACCACAGCGCTGGCACAGGCGAGAGGTTTCTCAGTCACTGCTCAGCCAACTGCTCAGTTGCTGCTCCCAAGGTGACTGTGTGCAAAGGGAGCAGCAACCAAGATTGGTAGTTTTGAATTTGCAGTAGAACAGTAGACCAAATATCAACAAATTGGCATTGGGGGCACTAAGGTTGTTGCCCAAGAGAAAAGGGGGCAGTGGTCTGGAAAAGTTAGGGGACTACAGACCTAATAGATAAAGGAGAGCACAATAAATTTGAATATTTTAAAACATAATTAGTCTGATATCTATGATGTGAGAACTTTTAGTTACATGGATGTGGAGCATGGTAACCTGCCTTATTGTGTCCTTGTAGAAATCAAAGCATTTTGGACTGTTTGACCATGAATGTGTTTATAGTAGAACGTCCTACCTTTTGATACCACTTTAAATGTCAAGCCTTCTTGCTACAGAATCCTGGAGTTTTTAGTTTAGCTCTTCACACAGTTTTTTAAAAGATGGGGCAGGGTTTTAATATGCTGAGTGGAAGTGGAGCTGACAGCAACCAGCAAAACCCAAGGAGCTACAGTTAACTAATAGTCTCTGACAAAAAAGCTCCTTTCTACAAAATCCTTTTACACCGCAACCTTCTACTTTTCCTCCTTGTCCTCTTTTTAGGTGGAAACTTTGACAGTGGAATGTGAAGTAAGGCTGTAGGAAAAGATGTACAGTGTCAGGCTGCAGCAGCATGTCTGCAATAAACAATACAATAATGCTTGTGCTGGGAAAGACTAGGATTCTTCTCTAACCAATACTACCGTCCCTGTGTGTCTGCCTACAACAGGAAAAGATTTGTAGTTTGTTCCTGGCCTACAACAGGAAAGGTAAACAGCAGCTGCCTCCAGCATCCCTTTTTGAAAATGCAAAACAAAGAGAAAAAAGGGGAGAGTAGATAAGCCTGACCCACCAGCTGCCTCCAACATGTTAAAGAGTATATATGCTCTAAATTTGCCCACCAAACTGGTGAAAAAACATGACATTCTTGGATGTATTTTGGAAGAAGCTTTAATGTGGCCTCTAGAAAGTTAAAATATTTTTGCTTACTTATGCAAGGTTCAGCTGACCTGATTATTAAATTTCACATGTGTGCATTGGTTTAAAAGTTAGCTGAAATATATTATACTACTCTTCTTCTTTTCATGGTGTAGAAACCTCTCCTTAGTCTTTTCATGTCATTTCTGCTTCTGGTACCAAATTTTCTATTAAAGAACATGTCTCCTTCTTTAACCGAGGCTTTTGTTGTTGTTTGCCTTCAAGTTTCGACTTATGGAGACCCAAAGGCAAACTTATCATGCGGTTTTCTTGGCAAGGTTTGTTCAGAGGAGATTTGCCATTGCCTTCCCCTGAGGCTAAGAGAGTGTGATTTGTCCAAGGTCACCCAGTGGGTTTCATGGCCCAGCTGGGAATCAAACCCTGATCTCCTGAATTGTAGTCCAACACTCAAACCACTATGCTACCCTAGCTTCCTGAGATGTGCCTGTATGCAAAGAGATCTTGTAGCACCTTTGAGACTAGCTGAATGAAATAAGCTGGTAGCATGAACTTTTGTAGACTTGAGACTCCTTCCTCAGAAGCTCAAGCTCAAAGTTCATGCGACCAATTTCTTTCTTTCAGTTGGTCTCAAAGGTGCTACAAGATCCCTTTGCATACTGATTTTCCAACACTGGTTGTTTTTTTTAATTCTAAGAAATACCTGTATATCATGAGAACTCACACTACTTTAGACCAAGCTGGAAGAGCCTTGAAATTAAAAAGAAGACTATTTGCGGATGGGAATGATATGTTGCAGCCAGTGCAGAGAATTGCCTGAAAAGAGGTTGAGTTAACAGAAATATTTTTAAAACATTTAATAGAAGAGATTTTTTTAAAAAAGCCAAGAACTACAACAACAAACATTTCTGTTTCCCAACAAACTTTTGCCCCATTTGGAAAAGTCCTATATCACAAGGCATATTCTGTGCCCACCCTCAACAAAACCTACCTGCTACTTCCAGTTTGGTGGAAGATGCCTCCTTAACTACCAGTCCGGTCACCTTCCGTGCGCTGAATTGGGAAGGATGCTTTCTGCTCTTTTTCCTTAGGCAGCAAAATATTTTGAGAGGTCCTCCAAGAAAGCTCCTCCCACCACCACAATTTCTTTTAATTTATCAGAGAACCCAAACAGGCAAAAGGAGATCTATTACAGATGCAGGCAGGAGAAACATCTAAATCCTTCTCTTTGTGTGTTATTTCATAATAGATCTCCCCCTCCCCCTCCCCCACTGACAGTTTGCTAGTTTATATAATTCACAAATTAGATGCTTCCTGTCAAATTTCAGACAGTTGGAAAGTATATGATAATTTTATCAGGATGAAAACATTTTGTCATTATAATGACAAAGTGCTATTTCAGCATCCTTGCCTTTAGATAAAGGTATCTCTGCATCTGTGATTTATTTGCGAGGAAGCTCCACTCAACATTTATTACAGAGAATACATATGCTTCAGCAGAGGCAGGTTGCTTCCACTTCAGTGAGACAGTGAATCCACTCTGGGTTTTAATCTGACATTTAAAGGCACCATCCAAAGTGCTGAACCTATTTCGTGACTATGGTTCGGTGCCTTGGGTAACTCCTTTAAGCCATCAGCCTAAGCTTAAAAAATCAATAAAAAGAGACATCCAAACCATAAACAACCCAAGGTATTGTGCTGCCTGTGGCCAAACAACAAATTGGGCCTCCCCTCATCCAAGGCAAAATGCATAGTAGCCAAATCCAGTAAAATTATTCTGCCACCTGAGGCAGAAAATGCCACCCTCTTCCCCATACCTGGCAGTAGAAAGACAAAAGACAAAATGTTTTGCCTGTGGTGGCTGCTTCAATCTGTCTAAAAGCAGCGCCAGCTCTGATCAGAGGAAAAATGGGTGTTCAGTATCTACTAGGGTTTGGTTCCAGGACCCCTTGTAGATATCAAAATCCACGGATGCTCAAAACTAAACCTCTCCAGTCTCTGGCCTTGAGCAGCATCACCTGCTAGTGATGCTAGGAATCTCTAGGTCATCTCTAGGTAAAATGGTATCTCTTTTGTAAAATGGCAATATCAAGGTTTGCTTTTTGGAATTTTGTGTGTGTGAATATTTTCAAACTGTGATTGGTTGAATCCGTCAATTCAGAATCTGTCAATATGGATGGTTGACTGTATCTTAGGGCCTTTGCAGACTGCCAGAAATAATTCAACTTAAGTCCACTTTAACTGTCCTGGCTTAGTCCTAGGGAATCATGGGAACTGTAGTTTTTTCTGAGACATTGAGCCTTTTCTATCAGCGAGCTCTGGTGCTATAATAAACTATAGTTCCTATGATTCCCTAGCACTGAGCCAGGGTATTTCAAGTGGACTCACGTTGCATTATTTCTGGCAGTCTGTAAAGGCCCTATGTGGAGCTACCATTAAGCCACTGTGAGTGGATTTTGCTAAATTATGATCTAAATCCCTTTGTTAGTATTGGCATGTGGCGTAGTGGTTTGAGTGTTGGACTATGTCTCTGGAGACCAGGGTTTGATTCCTCACTTGGATATGAAATCCACTGAGGGGTCCTGGAACAAATCTTGCCGACAAAACCCCATGATAGATTTGAAATGACTTGAAGGCACACAACAACAGACACTAATTTAATAAATTGGATTTACCTATGTGTTGACTCACCATTTAATTATTTCTTTAGTGGGTTTATTCTAGTAACAGGATTCCAGCCAACGTATTAAAAGTATGAGAGCTGCTATAAAACAAAGGCTTCTTTGGCATCTTTGGGACACCTGACCAGAAAATGTGGTTACATGTCTAGACCTTGAGCAGAGCTTGGAAAAGTTATTTATTTATTTATTTATTTATTTTGGACTACAACTCCTACAATCCCCCAGTCAGTATGCTTGGGCCATACTGGCTGGGAGGATTTGGGGAAGGAGTGGCCATTGGCTTCCACTAGAGAAGCTGTTCAAAGTGCTGAACCTCATCTGCACAAAATAGATTCAGCACCCTTGAAAACTCCCTTAAAATTCAGACTTAAACCCACATCAGATTCACAACTCTACTGACATGGAAGCCACCAGCCTCCACTGATTCCAAAAATTACAGTCAGCCCTCCACATTTGTGGCTTTGACTTTTGTGGATTTGATTATTTGCAGATTTAATTGATGTGTTCTCTAGGAATCTCTAGGTCATCCAGCATGACTCTGCTGGAAGTTGACCATAGAATCACACTGGAGGATCTAGAGATTTCTAGAGAAAACACTTCTCTAAGCATGTTTAGGTCCTCCAGCATGATTCTATGGTCACGTTCCAGCTGATGTTGACCATGGAGTTGCACTGGAGGACTCATAGATTCCTAGAGAGGTGTTCTCTCAGGTTAAAAAAACAGTGTTTTTTTATTTGTGTTTTTTCCACTTTCACGGGGGTTCTGTGCCCCTAACCCCAGTGAATGTGGAGGGCCCACTGTATAATTAAACCTTTCCAATCTCTGGCCTTGAGCACTGTCGTTTCTCCATTTATAAATTGACAACTGTTGAGAGGAACAGAGATTGATTCTAGTTACTGGTTCTTCCAATTCTTTGCTGGGGCCCAAATTTTGTTGGCAACTCCATGACCTCTTGCTGAGCAGCATCCTCCTTCTGTTCCACATGATGTTTATTTCCTTCCTCTGTTTCCCATCACATTCCTCACAATGGGAGGCCCCCTAAACCAGCAAATGGCCCTCATTCATGTGACCCATTTTCTAAAGCTAAGCCTTGAACCCAGCTGGGGACCTTTTACATGGCCATGGCTGCTGCGTCACAATAATCACTCCCATTGGAAAAGCTTATCATAACATCCTGTGGCAGTGAATTCCATGGGTCAGTTATGCACAGTGTAAAAAGAAGGGCCCTTTTTATCTTTCTTTGTCCTGATTCACCTGCTTCCGATCATTAACAGCAGTGAATGTTCCCCAAGCATTTAGGGAGAGAATGCATACATGGTTTGATGTGGATAAAACAGAAATACATAAAGAAATAATACTTCTAGCCTGCAGCCAACCATATCACCTTTTGAAGTTCTGCCTATTGTACAGTAAATTGTTGTCTTGGATTTTAAGCTCAACTTGGAAAATGTGCATAATTAGTGTTAGATTTCTAACTGGCATAGAAATACTCCAACCATTTTGAGGAATATGTACAGATGCCCTGTTTAAAATTTTTAAAAAAGTAATCCAATTACATGAGGTTTTATGGTGTTATTTATTATATAAAGAATTGCAGTATGTACGTGGCACTTTGCAGAGTCCAATGAGCTTACAACTGAAAATTTGACACATGGGAAAAAGACAGAGAAATGGATCCAATGTAGAAGCAGGGAAAGAAGGAAAAAATGTGATTATTTCAGTTACACACACTTAGAATTTTTCACAGATGGAAGGACAAACAACACACTATGAGAAATACACTGCATGCAACTGAGACTAATATTCTTTGTTATTTTGTTCATTGTTGTGTGCTTTCAAGTTGTTTCCTATGTATGGTTACCCTAAGGTGAACCTATTATGGGGTTTTCTTGGCAAGGTTTGTTCAGAGAAGGTTTGCCATTGCCTTCCCCTGAGGCTGAGAGGATGTGACTTGCCCAAGGTCACCCAGTGGGTTTCATGGCCAAGAGGGCAATTGAAACCTGGTCTTCAGAGTCACAGTCCAACACTCAGACCACTACTGCACACTGGCTTTTTTGTTATGCCGCTCCTTAAATGTGCCATGTCTCTAAACTAGGGCTAAAAAAGAAGGAAAACCTATTGTTTTTCAACCCATATGGTGGGAAGGTAAGAAGAATGAAGAAACCTTCAGGCAAAAAAATTTCAGAGTGCAGCTACACTGTAGAAATAATGCAGTTTTAACTACCATGGTGCCATCCTACAGAATCCTGGGATTTGTCGTTTTGTGAGGCATCAGAACTCTTTGGCAGAGAAAGCTAAAGACCTTGTTAAATCCCAGGATTTCATAGGATGGAGGTACAGCACTTAACATGATGTCAAGTGTCATTCTTTCTACAGTGTAGATGCACCCTAAGCCTCCCTTATATACATATGCTGCTCCTGTACCCCTTGTGTTTTTGCTTTGTTGTAAAAAAGCAATCAAAGCTCAACTGCACACTTCCTATTTAACATTAGCATGGGTTTTATTTATTAGGAATCCATTCATATTTAGCCTTTCTTCCAATGAACTAAAGGCAACATGTGCAGCTCTCTTCCTCTCCATTTTGTCACCACAACTTTGAGAAGGCAAGGAGAGTATGAGAAACTGGAGTTACATGTCTGAGTGGGAACTTGAGAGGTTACAATCAACCACTCCAAATCTGCTTTAGTTTTTGTCCAGTTGAGCTGCATATTACCAAATGGAACCAAGTACCAGATCAAAATCTATTAGATGTCACAACGAAGGAAACACAGTACTAAAAGAAATGTATTAC